GTGACTGTAATGGCCCTGAGCAGCTGTTTCCTCCTCCTGCACCTGGGTTCCCTGAGGGCCTAGGGAGCACGGGGTCCCTTGGAGCCACCTAGGGAGCACAGACTCCCCAGCTCAGGGGCCTGGAGGCAGCGCCCTCCTGGCTCTGACTAGCACTTTTCTTCTTGATGCCTCAGTTTTATCATCTCCATAGTGGGGAGGCTGGCATTCATTCACTGTCATGGATGGATGGGGCAGAAGTGTTAATGCTGCTGTGCTGTTGTCATATAGGTCAGTGTAAGTTTTAGTCACCAGTTTTTGTTTTTAATTTTATCCATCGTCACTATGTCGCACACACTACATTATTATACTATTAATCTTACGTTATTATGTTAGGTGATCTCTTTCTAAGGAGTCTTAATTCTGGTTTTCTTGGGCCCTTGCAATCCCTTTAGTCCCTGTTGCACATTACTCAAAGTCCACATAATTTTATGGTGTAAATAGTATACATTTTATGATATAAAATTTGCATTGTCTTGAAATATACTTGTGTGGTCTGTATTTCATTTCATGTGTTTGGGAAGAGAGCGTGTGTGGGCCTTGGGAAGAAGGTCGGGATGGTCTCAACGCTCGATATGCAAGAAAAAGCTTCCTTCTCTTCCCCAGCTCCTTGTGACCCAAAGAAATTGAGCAAAAGCTAGAGGGTTGGGATCAGTGGAGGGGCCATCCAGGGCCAACATTCGGGGCTGAACTCTGGAGCCCAGTCAGAAATTTCCCACCTGCCCCTCACCTTTTAACTTTTCCTGAAAAATTCATTAATCTTCCTAGAAGCTTTGCTCAGTTAAACTTCATGTGAACAGATACAGCTTATGTGCCACAGCCCTGAACACACTGCACGTGGAAACACTGACCAGGAGAGCGAGGCTGCTGTGAGCAGTGACCCTGGCTCCGGGAGCCGGATTCAGGAGCTGTTTGCTCAGCAAACAGAAGCACATGGTTCCCTCCACTTGGGTGGTTATGAGCATGGTACCGAGGCCAGCATGGTACTACAGCAGGGCCACTGTGTGATTCTTGCCCTTAGGTTCTGGACTGATTGCCACTCTCCTCACTCCTGTGCACGAGAGCTGCTGCTTTCTTTCTTTTGCTTATTTTTTGTTTTTATTTTTGTACATAATGATGACGTTACTCTTGAGCAGTTGGACCATGCACGTAACTTCTCAATTCTTTTATGTCCCCTTTCTCTCCTTTCCCTCCCATCTGCATTTTCCTCTGCCTTCCCTCTCCCTATTGTCTATTATATTTTATATGGCTCTCTATGTATATTTTGGGTTTCACACATAAGATATCTATGTGATATTTAAGCCTATGTATCTGGTTTATTTCTCTTAAACATAGGGTCTCAAAGGGCCTCCATTTTCCTACTGATGACTTAAGTTTGTGCTTCTGTATGTAGGAGTAGCACTCTATTGTGTCCATACATCTTGTTTTCTTTATCCATTCACCTGTTGATGGATACACAGGCTGCTTCCAAGATTTAGATATTGTGAATTTGGCTGTATAAACATGGCTGCAATAAACATCACTGCAATATGATGACTTTAACTCTTTGGGAAGTTACCTAGAAGGGGAATAGTTAGGTTAAATGGAATTTCTGCTTCTAGGTTTTTGATGAATCTCCATACTGATTCTTTTTACAATTTTTAAATTAAAAAGATTGTTTTCTTTTGGTACCTGGGATCGAACTTGGGACCTTGTGCTTTGTGAGGCCATCGGTGGCACCGTCTGGCACTTTTTTTTGTTTGTTTTTTTTGAGACAAGGTCTCACTTTTGTAGTTTAGGCTGGTCTTTAACTCACTTTGTAGCCTAGGCTGGCCTCAAACTCATGACAATCCTCCTGCCTCAGCCTTCTGAGGTTTACAATCCCCCCTAGGATTACAAATGTGTGCTACCCTGCTTGACCATACTGATTTCTATATGGGTGTACTAGTTAACATTCCCACTCAGAATGAAGAAGGCCCCAGCCCCAGCCTCATCAATATTTGTTATTCGAATTCTTGATAATAGCCATTGTTTCTGGAGTAAGATTGAATTTTGTTAATGGGCAGAGATGTTAAACATTTTAAAATGTATTTTCTATTTTTTTTTTTTTTTTT